TTTTCTCCTGATAATCTCTTTCATGTGAACTACCTATACACATTCTTAAGAGTTTAAGAAAAGCATTTCAAAATGATTAATAGAGATGAAATGCTCAAAACAATAGATGCACAGTAGTTTATATCTTCTCAATGATTAAGAGTTCTCAGTATGTACCATTTGGCTTCTAAATGGGGGAAAATCAGCTAATATCTACAAGTATCCTATAGATATCCTAATATCCACAAATATCACAAGAAAAGATGGGAGTTAGATACTGCTCCCCCAGAACCATCAGCCTATCAACCCCAACAGCAAGAACTTCTGGAGAATGGGGTCAATGGTTGGGAACAAAACAAAACAACAACAAAAACCTCCCAAGGAACTAGAATTCAGAGCTTAATATCTAAATTAGCTATGAGTAAATTTTTAGCTATCTCTAAATGTTTACCTACAATGTAGAGTATTATTTAGACATTCTTTATACACATTTCAGGTTCCTGAATAATTTAATCTGTCATTTTCTTGTCTTTCATAAGTATATAGATAAATAATATATGTTGTTTTAAACTTCCCTGTATTTCACTCACAGAAAATCTTCTTGTGCTATCATGCTCACCATACTTCTCCTTCCCAACTTTTGGAACTTTACCTAAATGTGTAAGAAAAATGGAATTTCTTCTATAATCTACTATAGTCTTAATCTCTATTCAAGAATATTTGAAGACATTATCCTTTCCATGGGAACACAATGTAGATTTAGGTATATCAATATTTAAATTATTTTTAATTCCAAGGATTAAAGTATAAATGTAAAGTATAAGTATAGCATATGAATATGACAGTATAAAATTTGAATAGATTCAGAATTGGTGTGCCTGATGAGTTAGGGGACAACCATATCTAACTCTGAAGTATTCACTGATTTAAAGTCATGTCTATTAGGCTGTGCAGTGCGGTTGCATGATTTACTAAATTAAAAGGACATTTTAATCTTCTCAGTGCTTCAAAAATAATAATATTGTACATTGAAATCAGGATTCAGAAGAAACTAGCAAAGAGTTCAAACTCTCAAATTCATTTTTTTAATCTATTATCACATTTTATTTAGATGCTTACATATTTGTTAACTCTCTTGTTAGAACTGAGTGAAAGACAGGGACAAAATCTATTTTTCTGTTTCCAGCACCTACCAAGGAGCTTTACGCTTACTCTGGGCTCAGTGAATGTTTATAGAAGAAATCAATGAATGAGTTATACAGTGATTTCCCCAAGCACATGTGATTTTTTTTTTCTGGTTATTTGTCCCCTTCACTGCACATTATCTATATATTGCTTGTCGTGTGTGTGTTATATTTTGTATATTCTCCCTTGTAGAACAAAAACTCTTTGGCAAAGATAGCCTCTGTGGAATAATGGCGCCCAAAGATGTCCAGTCCTAATCCTTGGCACCTGTGAATATGTTACCTTGTGATGGTAGATTATCCTGGATTATTTGGGTGGGTCCAATGCAATCACAAGGGTCCTAAAAAGTGGAAGGGGGAGGCAGACAAGGAAGACTCCAACCACTATTGCTGGTGGATGATGTAGGAAGGGGACATAGCCAAGGAAAGCAGCCAGCCTCTAGATCCTGGAAAAAGCAAGAAAACAGATTCTCCCCTAGAGCCTTTAGAAAGGAACACAGCCCTACTGACACCTTGATTTTAGCTCAGCAAGACCCATGTCAGATTGTCAGGAACTATGAGATAATCAATAAGGAGAGTTTAAGCCATTAAGTTTGTAGTAATTTGTAACAGCAGGAATAGAAGACAAATACAGTCTCTGACACACCTTTTGTACCCCCTTCAGCTACTGACACAGGATGTTGCACAAAAAGACTCACCTATCTCTTATGGTTAATTTTTCTCATCACTTCCTTTATCTTTTACATTAGCGTTTGTTACCCCATTCCATGCTGGAGTGGGACAGCATTAATCAAGATTCGTCTGTTTGCAAATGACAGAAAGCTAACACAAACTCACTTAAGCAAAAGAAGCAGGAGGTACACATCTCACAGAAGTGGGACCTCCAAGGGATGGAACTGGGTTTCAGTCCCAACTATAATGAGGTCCCAAATCAGTCCACAAAGACTTTCTGTCTCTCTAATCTGCTTTCCTCTCTACACAAGCTTCTGTGTTTCTATAATTCACATTTTTAGTGGCAAGACTGCCCTCTTTGTCTTTCAGGAAGGGATTCTAATTTGCCCATCTTTGTAGCTTAGGAGGTTGAAAGGTGCTGTGATTATCTATTGTTACATTAAAAACATATTGGCTAAAAGTACAAACATTTATTTTATTTACTTGAGGTTCTGCAATTTGGGCAAAGCTATGGGGGACAGCTCATACCCACTTCACGTGACACCAGCCTGAGGCAGCTAATTGGAACTCAAGAATTCGCTTCCAAGATGGCCTCACTCACTCAAGTTGGTGCTGGCTGTTTGCTGTTTGCTCAACTGGGGTTGTCAGCTGGAAGACTCAGTTCTTCATGTGACTGCTCCAAATGGTTGGGCTTCTCACGGTACAGCAGTCTTAGAGTAGTTGAACTTTGTACATAGCCACTGACTTCCCACCCGAGTGCAAGGTAGAAGCTTCTCTAGGCCTTTTTAAGATTTAGCCCAATACTGACCCAAAGTCACTTGTGCCGCATTCTTTTGATTGAAGCAGATCACGGAGCCCAGTTCAGATTCGAGGAGAGGAGACTACACCCACAAAGATATGAATGCCATTGCCATGGTTCACTGGGCCACCAGTAGCAGTCTACCACAGTGGGTAATGGAGCTTTGTGAGTGACTGTCCACACAAGACCATGGGGGAAATAAATTGTAAGGGCTATCCCACAAAGAAAAGGGGCTGAACACAAACCTCAGGTATCCTTAACAATCAGTTTCAAGAGTGCTCGAAAATACTAAATAAAGCAAAACTGCATTTCCCTCTAAGTATATTTACTATATAGTTTGTACAATTTCTGGAGTTGGAGACGTAATTAAAAATTGAGGTTTAAAGTTAAGAAGTTGCAACTTTTTTCCCTATTCAATTTTTTTATTCTGTGAATGAAAATGATGGTAATATATACTAGATACTACCACAAAGGAATTAAATGGTGCAAGATTCATGATGAATAAACTATAATGTGGCTAATCCAGTGGTGTTTATTTACAGTAACCTTTTTAATGTGACAATTCCTTGGATATTGTAGTGAAATATTTTCACCCTACACCTACATTTTTATGGTTTGTATTTATTCTCCACAGTACAAATCCCAAAATGTCAAATTACTAGAGCTGTTTTATGGAAATTAGTTTTAGGTTAGACTATTTGAAATGCATTAAATTAATTTTATCTGTTTAGCAAAGTACAATAAGGTTTTTCGCATTAACAAAATTTTCTTTATAATATCGGCTGTGTGTGTAGGTTTAAAGACATGGTGGACTCAAAACACTCTTGTTTGAATATTATATTTAGCAAATGAACATGCGCTGTTGGGGATTAAGCAGTATTTGGAAAATGTATGTGTAAGGATTATTTAGAATGGAATTGCCAAAAATCCTGGAATATTTAATACACACTTGTTGATTGATTTTACTGCAATAAATACGAAGCAATAACAACTATATAAATTATTCAGAGACTAGTCATCCACAGCAGGATTCTTTAGAGATTACCTCAGAAACAGTTTGGCAGGATATTCTTTTTATAGTTTTTTTTTTTTTTTCCCAAGTCCATGTACAAAAGAGATATAGATCCATATGGAATGGATTAACATTGATTCTTTTAAAATGAAATTAAACATTTTAAAACATTCAAGTAAAGATTGTATGATCTTTCATACTAAAGCTCTCCTTGGTAATTTATTTATCTTAAATATTATTTTTGTCTTTCAGGAGGCATTATATAGCGAATGTAAGAGATTTATTAAAAACCTTGGATCGCTTGAGAGTGCTTTAGTACTTTGCCTCAAAATCTGCACATAGGCAAAATTCCTGATATTATGAGTTGGGATTTTCAGTTTAAGAAGATTTAAAATCTCTGCTAAAGCAAGGGCTTGTTAGGTGTTTCTAAGCATCATATATCAGAGAAACCCAGCTACTTACCAATCATTCAAACTAAAATGGGGCAGGACAGGTCACATGGAATCAAAGAGACCAATTTAGACCAAGTGGGGAAGGTGTCAAGTTCTCTTAAAATTGGTCTTTTGTTCTAGAAAGATATCCAGCTCCAGAAGCAGATAGAATAATCAGTATTTACATAGGTATGGACCTCTTTGTATATGCAGATCCAGATCACTTTTTAAAGATTCTCAATCATTAAAGCAGTTGGAGACATAATGTTGAAAAGAGTAAATGTTTGCATATTTGGAGTTAGAGACCCCAATTATCTACCTATGAGTCATGTGACTTTGATACAGTCCTAATGACCTTTTTTTTTTTTTTTTGCATAATAATCCTTTTGGTTTCCAGTTCCCCACTATCTTGAGGTTGTTCTGAAGATCCAATGAAAGAATGCCAAAATACTTTACACATTGCAAAGCATTACATTATTAAAATTTACATTATGACTACTGTTACTAATAAAACATGACTGGATGACTGACCTATAAACAATTCACTGAAAAATCCAAGTCTATTGGATGTGTTTTATTTTTTAAAAAATATGTTCATTTAAAGGATAGTCACGAGATCTAAAGTAGTCAATGCTTTTGTTCCCGTTATTTTTGAAGTACTAACCCTTACATTATTGACTTTCAATGAACACAAAATCTGGAGAGATGAATGTACAAATTTTTGCTGAACAGTTGGGGATTATATTTCACTAACTGCAACCCAGAAGGGTCATGGCTGTTTATAAAAGAAAGAAATTTGCCTCCTGGTATGATTGGTTTCTTGAGATGATTTGTATCCAGCTGGAGGTCTGGCAATGGTGTGGGGTGCGTGGGGCCATTGGATATTTTTGTTAATGGTTTATTTCTCTGTGTTTCTCTCCCAGCTATCGGCAGGACCCTTATCCCTCGCTACTTTAGCACTGTGTTTGAAGGAGGGGTGACCGACCTGTATTACATCCTCAAACACTCGAAAGAGTCCTACCACAATTCATCCATCACAGTGGACTGTGACCAGTGTGCTATGGTCACCCAGCATGGGAAGCCCATGTTTACCAAGGTACAGGACATACTCAGCAATTTGGCTTGTTCTTCTGTGGGTGTATTGAAGGATAATAATTATGCTTTTCTTCAAGAACTTTGAGCTGATTTCTCACATCTCAGACACTCTCAGCACTATGAGATAGTCTCTTTTGTTTGTGATATGGCTAGACTCTTGGTGAACACTGTTCTTAGATGTGTGCAAATGATACAGAGCAAATATGATAGAGCCTCAAAACTAAGAGAGACAGTTTTGGCTGCCTGTTAAGCTCAGGTTGCTAAATTAGAATCTTGATTGTTAAAGAATCTTCTATAGCTAAAAGAACATTCTCCCATTGTTGTGTGGTCAGTATTTGTGTTTTGTTTGTAAAATTAAATACTTTTTAAAGCTAAATTCAAATGTTAACAAACGGGAAAAAAGCAACTAACTACAACTCAACTAGTTGTAACCTTTAAGGAACATAAAAACATAAAAATATAAATGAAACTAAGGAATTCAGAGTTTAAAGTTTGTTTCCCCAAATTCTGAGAAGTTCTGTGGTTGGTCAGTCAGCAAGTGAGGACAGTAGAGCCAAAAGTTGGTTGTGAGAAAATGAGAAACACAGGGGAGGGTAGTGGGTGGAGGACCGGGTAACACAATCTTTGAGGCACAATTCAAAGCTCTATGAAGGATGTGAAGTGAAAGAGAATGTCTTCTATAAGTTCTACACCTATGACCCTTCTCATCCACAGACAACTGACATGTGGAATATTCCCTCTGTGCAAAGACCTTTCTGGAACACTACAGACAATCCCTTTATGTCCTCTCCCAAGTAGCAAAATTAGTAAGAACAAATATTTAGCCAGAGAATCTGACAAACAGAAGTTTATTTTCATGAACACTAGTTATTGCATTTTGACGAAGACTCAGTGTGAAACTAATCTGTAATATTAATGACAGCAGCTATCTCTTTTAGTTGAAAACACATATGACAATCCCCTCTTTATAGTTGAGAAGTTGAATTTCAGGGTTAATTGCAAAAGCCCAAATTACAAGACTAAGATGTGTTTGTTACTTGTGCACGGTTTTCCCAAAAGAATAAAAGTAAAATGTTTATCATTTAAAGTATTCACTGATCTTGTTGGTGCAGCTTCATCTTCCCAGTTGCTCACGGTGATGTAAAAAACCAAGGGCAAAGGAAATGGTGATAAAATGCAAAAGCAAATCATCAAATGTCATTGATTTCGTGGTATCTTGATTTTGTCAATAGACATTTTAAATGTGGGGCAGAAGTTGGGTTTTTCTCTTTCTTCCTTTTTAACAGTTGAACAGAAAGGAAAGTTGCCAATCAGGGACAGAGAATATTTATTCCCACTGTATGCAGAAGTCCGTGCTGGGAAGAGATTTTAGTTACATGGAAAGGAATGATCACCTGGATGACAGTTTAATCTGCCCATGTCTCACTCACTTCATTTTGGAGATGTAAAATATTTACATAATCTTGTATCTCAGATGGATAACACAGCCTATTTCAAATGTTAGGAAGTCAGAGCCCCACAGAGAAAAGCTTTCTCAGCTAGCTCATTATTGTTTTTTTGTTTTGTTTTGTTTTGTTTTTGTCTAGGTTTAGCATTATGTTTAGGTAATCAAGAAAAACATGCCAATTCCTTATGCTTTAAGGGAAAAAAGAAATCCATGGAAATTAAGTAAAATGGCTGTAATGAAGAAGCTACTTCCAAAGCCTATAGCCATGAAAATAAAAATGCATTCTGTGGCATCCCTTTTATAAAACATAAAATATTTTATGTAATCACAGTAATATAATATTTTATAATAAATTTTATAATAAATAATTTTAAGATAACGTGTAATATTTTATATACATGTAAAATATATACTAAAAGGTAGTCCTTTATATTTTCTCAATTTCTTTCATTCCAGGACAAAGCTTTTTCATAAATGAGCATAGTCAGCTGCTCTGGAGGTAAAATGCTGTATATTCAGGACGGGTTTTAAATTTTTAAAAAATCTCATTCTTCTGATGAATCGATAAAGTGCCTTTTTTCATTCAAATCAAGAAGTGAGGGTTTCCCTCTGTTTCAATTTTTCCTCACCCAGGAATGCTTCCCTCTCAGATGGCCACAGGGAAGACCAGAGCAGCCTCCTCCTGAACTCAGCTCTTTCAGCCCCAAACATCAATTATTCAGGTCACCTCTCACTCTACTCTATGGCAATACATTTCCCAACTCTCATAATGAATATTTCCATACTGTGATGAAAAATATCACTTTCTGGGAAATGCAGCCTAGCTATGTGGACTTAGTGCAGATGCTAATTATGCACATTTATTTTTAGAAAATTCTAAAGCGTTCATTTTTTTCTTTTTACTTTTTTTTCTTTTTTCCCCCTCCTTCGTGATTATTATACTACCCAAAGAATCCTTCCAATTTTTCTTTTGTTCTTATATTAATTAAAAATAACCCATCTTCGTGTAATAAAATAATGTATTTAGTATAAAACATTGAGCTAATGACCTTTCAGTATCACAAAGAGAAATATAGTCTGGAATCTGCTGCTTTATTTTTAAAGGGGAGCCCGCTGAACATGGAACTACTTGAGCACATTTTGTACTGGCATATCACATTGTTCTAATTTAGACTATCAATACACTCTAATTCCCCAAATAGCATTTGACCCAGTGGTTCTGAGTTTCTTTTATGAAAATTTGGTCAACTGGTGAATCAAAAATCAGTCGCAGTCCTAATCAACAGTAATATTTAATATTCCTCAGGAGTATAGTGCACATTTTGCAATTTCCTGATCCTAGGAACATTATAGATTATGGATAAATACGTAATTAGAGTTTTAAAACACACATTATGAAGCCTTTCTTTTCTGTATTCAATTTCGAATCAAATTGAAAACAAGGCTTAATAATCTGGAGAGCAATCACCAAGGTTTTCAGAATCAAAGACCCTTGAATTATATTTGAGGGTGTGAATACTGGCAGATGCTGAGAGGAGCCCTCTCTGGGGTACACATCGGGCTACTTTTTTTTTTAGATTTTGCAAACTAATAGTAATAGTTACAGCCGTTACCAAACACCCTTATCACTCTGCAAACATGGCTTTATGTTTTCTCTGATCTTGATTATTTATTATGCAATCATTTATTACTATAGAAAGTACCCTGGAAGTGCCCCAGCCACTTTCCCTATTTGAATACTTATTCATGTCTTTGACATCATTCCTATCTTAGCCTGTCTACAACATTATAGTCCAGGTTTTATTCATTTCTACCCTTATCCCAACTCCAGTCAAATTAGTATAATATCAATGATCATATTGCTCTAATATACGTATCCATATGCATTTACATATGCAGTATCTCCACATAAAATACGATGAGCTTTATGCCATTGTTAATTTGAAAGCGGTATTTCATGCATAAAGACCAAGAAAACTAAGTAAACACTTCTACCTAAAAAGCACATTTTCTTTCCTAACAGCTCTATGAAAATCATTTGTATTATACAACGGCATGGTCAACATTGCTTTACAATTAGTCAAAGAAAGAAAAGGGTTAAAAAGCTACCGGTTAGTTTGAGAAATGTTCTTTTTTAGTTCTCTTGTTCCTGGCCTAGTCTCAAGCTAGCACGTGATCCGCTGAATGCCTGCCAGCCTCTTTCTTGTTGATCCTCCGGAGACCATCTGTGCTGGGGGCATTGATTAGAGTGTGTCTGCTGGGATTACATCTTTTCTGTTGCCATGCCAACTAATCAGCTGATTTTGGTTACCACAGAAACAAAATGTCAGAGCTCACAGTACGGTAACATGAATTCAGCACAACAGAAAATGTTTTCTTAATTGGGGACCGTTTTGATTTTGGATTCCAAGTGAAAGGCAGCTTTAAAAAAAAAAGGCCAACTTTAGATAAAAGCTACATTAATTGTATTGATTAAGAGGAATACACAGAATTTTTCTGAAAAGAGAAAATATTAATTCCCCTTTATAAGCTATGTCTGTTTTTTACCATTTCCAGACAAGGAGTATATATATATTTTTTCTTAGGCCCTTCTATTCCATTTGCTGATTGTCGCATGTAAAATAAATCACAAAGCCTTCACTTTCCTTTAACTTCCGTGATGGGAGCAGGACGCAGGGAGGCCAAATAGGGCTTGGGAGAAGGCCATGGGTAAAACTACCTGGGGCGGGGGGAGACCAAGAGTGACCAAATTCTCCTCCATTCTTCCATTCAAGGAAGTCATTTAATTTTCCTTAAAACACCCAACACAGTCAGCTTGGATTCAATTTTAAGGATTCCTCTCTTGCACGTGATATGCTCTGGATATTTCTTGGTTTGAGCTGACAAGGGAGAAGCCCAGGGCTTGTTGCAGTTTTCCCTTTTGTAGGCCCATGACAGTTTGAAGGCAAGAAGGGTCCTTAACTGGTTTGCTCTGTCATGGTAAACAGAGAATACAATTTAACTTGACCTTACAGATCCTCCAGCTGAGTAACTCATCAGAAGGATTCCATCTATGCCTTCTCATTACGAGATTCTATTCCAGTAGAAGTAAACCAGAACCTCTATCTGCCCTGGGTTTGTGGTTCATAAACACAAAACAAATAGATTACATAAGAAAAAAGCATGACATTTAACTGGGCTAATATTTGTTTAAACATCTAATAATCCCCCTTCTTTAAAAAAAAGGATTATAGCATCCAAATATCCCTGTCCTCTACTGTCAAGACATTTCAACTGTCCCTGACTGACTGCAGTCACCTCCCTTTTGTGAAAGCTTTCACGGCAGGTGGCTTCTGTCATGCTAACACCCCGGGGGGTGGGGGGGATTGTGTGGCTTAATCTCCATGTAACCCTTTTGAAAACCTTGGTGAATTAATTCCAATGCTAAGGATGTTCTAGAAGAGTGGTTTGAGGACAACAAAAGTCTTCCCCCATTTCTGAGTGCACAACGCTCATGGCTAATGTGCCAGAGAGGAAGCTCTGAAGACCACTCAGTTGAGGAGGTTTGGGGCAAGGTGTCTAAATGCTTAAAATTACCCATGGATTCTGCTAGTGGGGTCTGAGCTGAAGGTCTTCACCCAGATTATCAATAATTATCCTATGGTGCTTCTGAGACCTGTGAAAAAAAGAAAATTGTGGACGTCAATAGCATCTCTCTTAAGTAGTGTGCTGGCAACACATGTTACTCACACTCCTTGTACTGGTATTTGGCTTGTTTAAAGAAGATATTACCGGAGCACTTGGGTGGCTCAGGCAGTTAAGCATCTGACTCTTGATTTCAGCTGTCATGATCTCAGGGTCTTGCGATCGAGCCCCCCATTGGGCTCCATGCTGGGCGTGGAGCCTGCTTAAGATTCTCTCCCCTTCTCCTTCCCTGCCCCCCCTCCCCACTGGCACATTTCTCTCTCTCCAAAAAAAAAAAATTTAAAAAAAGAAAAAATAATAAAGAAAATACTACCTTAAATTAAATAGAAAGCATCTAACCCAGTGCCTGGGACATAGTTGGAACTCAATAAATGGTGGCCTTCCGTATCAAATTCCCAAAGAGAGAAATGGTTATTAATACCTCATAAAAGGTTGAAATCAATTGCTAATTATCTTCATGGACTATAGTTTCAGAAATGAGCATACCCCCTATTGAGTCAATTGTTATTTATGATTTTTAAAACTTGTGTAGTGCATTGATTTCCAAAACTGTGTATATTTGTTTTTAGCATAGGAAATCTTTCTCCAAAAAGGCTTGATCAGAAGTGCAATATATCGAAAGGATGAAATTGAAGCTGCTCTGGTCGAATTGAGAAAATGGGTGGAGATCACATGGTCTAGATGGAGGCTGAACTCTTCCCAGCAGAGCCCCTGAGACACCTCCCTGGGTCCCTAGGTCCCAGAGAGCACATTATGACAACCACTAGTCTGGGGTTCTTTGTTCTTTAGTTGCATTCCTTTTATCTTTATAGCTATCATTTACTGCCATCCTACTGTGTGCCACGTACAATACCAGGCAATCTCCACACACACACATTATCACTCATATATTTCCCCAGCAACCCTACGTAAGGTTAGTATTATCCTCATTTTACAGATGAGGAAACTGGAACCTAGGGAATTTATCTGGTTTTCTCAAAGTTCCAAAATAAGTGAAAAGTCGAGTTAAGATGGGCATCTAGTACTTTCTGATGTCAAGGTCTCTGTCTACTCTAAAGCAAAGATGAACGGAATAATTAGTTGTAACTATTTAAACTGGACCCATGTGCCACCACTACTTGTTATTTTTTAGTTGAAATAGGATCAGTGGTGCCCGATTGCCTAGCATTTTCTCCCATTTCAAAGTCATTAATGGTGGAATAAAATAGGTAAATTAAATAGGAACTATATGCTAAAAATGATCTGAATATCAAAAGAAGAAATGATCACCCTGTCAAAGAAGAGAGCCTCACAAATTCTATGTTTCATTAATAATACATATTTTTCTTAGAAAGATACCGCCCCTTCCCCCAAAGCCTGGCCTTTTATGCAAGCAGAATTTGTAACTGCCGATAGGATGTGATTGAAGGAAGACACTCTAAGAATGCCTCTATTTTCCACATGCCAATAACTGATCCCGACGGTGTTGGGTTACACATTGTCCCCCTGGAATTTGTCCCTGAAAATGAAAACTTCCTCTGGTTGGGTAACCTTGTAGTAAGTCACACTTAAGCATGAATTATTTTATTAGGTACTTTCTCCCAGAGTAGGACAACCACAATTAGAACCAGATTTCATGCGCTGATGGTAGAAGAATGATGAAAACAGAGATAAGAGGAGGTGAGAGAGTATGATTTTTGCAGGGACACGCCATATGCCAGGAGCTTTTGACATAATACTGCAATAATATAGGTTTTGTTCCCATATTTGCAAATGAAGAAACAGAGGCTCATGGAGTTTTGGCAGCAACCAATCAAGTTACTAGTAGCTCATGGCCAGTAAGCAGCTGTGCTGTCTTTTGAACCCACGGATTCTGGAGCTCATGCTTGTCTCAGTGTGCTGTGCAAAAGCACTCGTGTCACATCCTTGCCAAGATCCAGTGCTGCCCAAGGACAGTCAGGGAGACCATGCTGAGCAGCCGACGTGTGAGTTACAAAAATGTGGCATTCACAAAGTGCAAGGCAAATGAGTGTGTTGTTTGTCGCTTCTAGGTATGTACAGAAGGCAGACTGATCTTGGAGTTCACCTTTGATGATCTCATGAGAATAAAAACATGGCACTTTACCATTAGACAATACAGAGAGTTAGTCCCAAGGAGCATTCTAGCCATGCATGTAAGTAATTTCAGCACTATTTTACTCTTTCCTCCCTTCCCCCCCATCCCATTTACTCAAGGAGGAAAAGTCCAGTTCTCTCTGTGTGAAAGAACACCAGCAGTCTTCACGTGTTGGGTAATGAACTCTCAATTTTGAGTTTTCCCCTCAACCATTTTATTCAATAGGCCCTTTTTTCCCCTTCTTTGTTTCTGAGTTTGGTGCATTGTGAGATTTTTTTTTTTTTTGATATTTTATTATTTTAAACTCCAAACTGAGGTTACCTCAATAAACAGTTTGTACTTTTCTTAAATTCCACTGAGTCATTATAAAGTACTGCTCTGCCTGGGCTATTAACTGGGGAGGGAAATAAAACAAGAAGTAAGGAAAACAGTGTCCAGTTTTGATTAGAACCATCTGATAAGATGTGGGGCTCACGTACCTCAGATCTGTGTCTATATCATTCCTAACCATGGTGTTGGAATGAAGCGGGCGATTTGGGGTTCACTCTGTTTCACTTGACCATAAATCACATCACATTTACTGAGCACCAACTAGGTGCACAGCGAGATTCGATGCCAATCTGGAGATACGTTTTAGAGGTAAGACTTGGTAGGAGCTAGCTGAGTGCAGTCCCCGAAGAAGGCGTCAAAGGCATTGACTTAAATAAATCCCTCTTCCATAATGCATGATGCAGCAGTTTCTGTGAAAAAGCTTTGGAGCAAAATCAGACTTAATGAGCCTGATTTTTAAGACCCTGTACAATCAAAAGAGAATACAATAAGAGTAGCTAATATTTACTGGGTGTTTGCTATGCCAGGTCTTGTGCTAAGCGTCTGTACACATTCTGTTTAACCCTCCCGGTAACCCAGAGAGTTGCAGGATCATTATCCCTGCTTTAGAAGTGAGAAACCCAAGGTTCGGGCTTGATACATTGCTCCATGTTTCTCAGCCAGCAAGTGGTAAGTCAAGATTTCAACTCTGCTGGTACGGACTCCAAAACCCAGGCTGAGGAGCCATCTGTCTCCTGACTATCCAATTCCAGTCTGTCTCCCCAGGCTTTTGTCCTCGACCCTCTCCTCCCTACCGGTTAACCCAATCTCTCCCCTTCCCATTGACCTTGTACTTCCTGCTGTGGCACCCCACTCCTTTGCTCCAATCTTCCCGCCTATTCACACCCCTAAGTTCTTCTCCACTTTCAAAGCCCAGTTCACATCCTCTGCTCCCTTGAAGCATCCCAGAGTAGCCATTCTTGTGTTCTCAAAAATAGACCAAGAGGCAGCAGAGGGTAGCAGTCGGGAGCCCAGGCCCTGGAATGAGATCACATACGTGTGTATCCCTGTTCCTGTGTGACTTTGGGCAAGTGACATGGCATCTCTGTGCTCCCCAGTTCTTCATCTATAAGATGGGTACAGTAATAGAGTCTGCCTCACTGGACTGGTTTGAGGATTAAGAGTTAATGCGTGTAAAGGACGTAAAAGAGTGCCTGGCACGTAGTAGGTCCTCTTCAAGTAGTGGTGACCAGCTTTCAGCAGCTTTGGCAGCAGTAGCATCCTTCCTTTCGTTTATTATTATCCTGTCCTCTGTCTGCAAAGTTGATGTGTGTGATGTTGGCCGCAACCACCTGATGCATATCTGTAGAACCAGCTCTTCCCGGCACGTGAAAGGGCTTCCATAAATACTGGCTCCGTGTCACAGAGGACCCCTTCCCAGAAACTGACATGAGAAGTGACACGCTCAGACTCTTTTCTCTGACTTTCGTATTTTGTTGAAATACACAAAGTCAATTGGTTGCATGACTCTGAGGAAATTTAAGTACAGGAAAGTCTAAATTAAAGTGTTAAGATAACCTAGGTAGTCTCATGACTACAGACATGAAGACAAAAACGATGTTTATTGAGTCTCTCTCTGCTTAGCTCCAGTTTGCTTCTGCCAGTTAAGAAAAAAGGAAAGACAAATGGAAAGAAAGAGTGTCAACCAAGAGACTCATCTCACAATGAAATCCAGAAAGAATTTTTATTTTTTTTGTAGCCCACCAGAACATATGGGGTTGCCCATGGAACATTACATCCCTCTTTTAAATGTGGCAGATATTTTGGAAAATGTGATGCTTTTGAGGACATCTATTTCTAACCTTAGCTTAATGGGGAAGAAATTTAGAATTCTTAAATATATATATATACATATATATATACACACACACACACACACACATATAATTTCATAGAAGTGACAAAGTTTTCAGATATAGTCTTGGAAACAAAGGCCAATCCTAAAGCCTGGCTCTACCAAATCCAGAGACCCTGCCTCCTCTGCTGAGTGCCAGAGACTTGGAAGTGTCCTGACAGGACTTCATGACCCTCCTCCTGAAGACATGGGGACCTCTCACAGAGGAAGTAAGGCTGTTTCTCCCAAGGACTAAAAGCATGCCTGACTCATTTTGGTTCTACCTGGCAATAGATCTTGCATCATTGATCCAAACATGTCCTTGAGCCATTATATGCAAGTGTCTTCAAAATGTAAATTAAATTATCTCCAGCAACGTCCCCTCTGAGAAAAACCGACAGTGTTGAGATTGCATTTCTTAGCAACTGTAGCCCAGTCTGAGACTTTCTTGGCACCATCTTGCAGAGATAAAATACATGATTCTCTTTTTCCTATTTAGGCACAAGATCCTCAGGTCCTGGATCAGCTGTCCAAAAACATCACCAGGATGGGACTAACAAATTTCACCCTCAACTACCTCAGGGTAAGACCAATGGGTTGATTACATTTCCTGGTGAATTTGAAAAGTACTTTAGAAGTGTATATGTATCTTGAACCAAGGAGTTAAAATGAGGTAATATAGCACAATATGTGTGTCTTACACCACAGTGTGTATGTGTGTGTGTGTGTGTGTGTTCAATGGAGGAGGGGGTTTAATTAACAAAGCAGCAAACCTAGACTTTGTCAAGGTTGAACTTCCTCTCTCTGTTTGTAGGACTCTTGGAATTAATTATGCAAAGGCCAGCAATGTCTGCTCATACAGTGTTTTGGCGCTCTGCCCCTCATGGTTGTCTCAAGTTTCTGATGTACTGTTGTTGGGTTCACTTCCTCTGTGTCTCCACCCAGGGAGTGTCCCTGAGGAGGGTCCCCCGACGTTCAGCCTGTTGGTGGAACCACAGACATTTATTTCTAAGTCTTCTTAGGGACTCTCTGTGTAACATGGAACAGATTTTCTGGGTTGGGTATAAAGTCAGTTTTGATTTTTAAAAATTAGGAGTTAGGCAAAATTCTCTGCCTACATAATAACTATGGCTTCCATATTTGGTCTAAAAGGGAAACATCTGTCACTCTGGTTTGTGGTGTAGAATTGCAGTCGTCATGTTGCAGGTAGAGGATATGGTTTCCTTCATAAAGCAGCAAGCATTGTCCTCCAGATTCCACAAGAAGTCCGTGGCCACGCTCCACATTCCTTTGCCTCTGAGTTGCTGAGTTCCCTCATTGTCACTGTGGGCAGCCACTTCTCCAGCCCCTGCCCCATCACGGAATTTATGCTGTTGTTTCTTGACCCCTAAGCGCTGTGCCGGTTTGTGAATTTTGTTTTGTATTCCCAACCTTCTGTATATGATCGTTTTGCATATGTCGAAATGCTGAAATGCTTTGGCCAGACTTTCTCTTCGGTGAATTAAGAACGACTTGAACAAAGGCTTCCAAGTCACACACTCAACGCCATGTGCCAGCCCTGGGCTAGAGAGTGAAGATTCAAAGACAAAAGTCATGGTACCTGCCATCAAGAAACCCACTCCTATGAGGGCCAGACCCATAGAGAGAACATTATACACAAAATGGTAAATAACCCTGATGGAAGTTTCCAAGTGGAATTATGGGAGTACAAAATGGAGACCTCTCAGAAGAATACCTCAGAGAAGCTTTATGGAGGAGATGATGCCTGACTTGAGTGTGAAAGAATGAATAAAGGTAAAGCCAGGCAGGGGGCAGGAAGGACATCCCCGTTAGAGGGAAAAGAAGGGGCCTGGATTAGGGGATGGAATTCCAGGCAGATGAATGATGCCGGGACATGGAGTGAGAAGGCAGGAGAGGCGGGAGGGAGAGTAACTTAGGAACCAGGTCTTGGAGCAGCTTCCAGGCCGGGCGACCAGGCCAGAAGCCTCTGAAAGGATTACACGTGAGCATGGCAGCGTGCCTCTCCCGGGGAGAGGGAGAAGAGCCATTTTCCATCCAGCCTAGATGCCCTCGGTCTGAATGCAGGCACGGCAAGAGCCGGAGTCGGCTTTGCTCCACACCACCCTACTTTGCCCCAACACCACCACCATTTTGGCAGCCCTGAACCAGGTTGTTCTCCAGTAATGATGCTGTGGTTCCCGCTCCAGGAGGGTGGATGGACAAGCAAGTGCCTCAAGGCAGGGTAGCTGGAGCTAGGTTCTTCCAAACTTCCAGGCTCTGCATTTAGAGCTGTCCCCATGGAACCACTGGTGCAATGGGAGTGGGTAGCAAGGCCTGGGGAAGTGGGGGTCTGTGGCATGCTCTAGCCACAGGAATTCAGAAGGCTGCCCTCCCTTGCTAGCCATTTCATCTTGTCAGAGACCATGAGCAGTTTAGTTTAAACCATCTGAAGACGCCTCTCCTCAGGCAGATAAAGATGTTTCATACTGTGTGTCCTCAGCTGACCCCACATTGGAATCTGGGACTTTGGATTCTGTCCTAGACTTGGTCACTCACCCTCTGGTGAAATCTGGACAGATTCACTATTACATCTTTTAGCTGCATTTAACATAGATGAATAAATGCTAAATTTCCTTCCTCCCCTCTCCCTAGTTTCTCTTATTATCATCAGTAAAATGGTGACTTTCACCTTGGGGTCAACAAGGCCCACCTCGTTCCCACATTCTGCGATTCTCTGATTTTAACCCCCAAAGACTGAGAAGATCATATTTGCCAAGTGGGGGGGTGGGGAAGAAGGGATTAGCACCAACCCCTCTCCCAACAGCAACAGGAGGAAGGGTGTGTGGGTTTGGGCAATATGGAATCCTGTTTCAAAGGCTACCACTTAAATGTAGTGCTTACAGCATGTCCTGACTTCACTAGTTTTCACAATGGTCCATGTGCCCTAGCACGGTTTGTGTGAGAGAGCCGGGCACAGAGAGTTCAAGAAAGTGAACTCAGTCACCCAGCCTTCTACCACTGAGTGGCTGGGCTGGGACTTGAACTCGGGCTGTCTGACTCTAGAATCCATGAGCTTCATGCAGAGCTGCCTTTCTAGTAAGAAGGGAGAGCAATGATAGTGACAGAAATTGGACCGTGTCTCTCCTGCCTTGACAGGGGAGTCAGCATCATCTCTCACTGGGGCCTTAACCACTTTGCCACAAGTAATGACAGCTCCTTCTTTTCACGTGCAGATTAAGTGGGCAATCCATGTAAACGGCTTAGCGCAGGGTCCGCGGACAGAAAGCACCCAGTTAGTGTTCATGGGCATAATTTATTGAGCACCTAGTATGTCCATCATTGTTGTTCATACTGGAACCATGGAGAGCAATACGGCATCTGGCTCTCTTCTCTCGCTCTGGGTCCGCCTAACACTCCTTTACTTCCTCTGCTCGTGCAGAGGCTCAGCAGCTACTTGTCCTTCCTGCCTCCATTCTTCCCTTTGTTCACTCCCTCCATCACTTTTTTCTCTGTTGACTGGTTCAGGACTCTTTCATTGAGCCCACTCTGTCTTCCTGGCCTTGTGCCAGGTGCTGGGCCTTTATCGTGGAGAAGATGTGGCCCCTTCCAGGGCTGGGGGAGGCCAGCGGAGTGTGGTCGGCCACAGTTCCAGCGAGCTGTGCTGACAAGGAAGGGCCTACAGGGCTCCTGGGAGTCTGCGGAGGGGTCCTCTGGTGTCCAGATAGAAGCCACCCCTCCCAGCAATAACTCAAGGCGGTTGTGAGCCACTTGGCAGGTGAAAGCTGAGCAGAACCTCACACTCAGTTCCCATAACCACGCACATGGGCATTTCCATGATGAGACCTGGCCTGGTTAGTGGTTACTAACCACCGAAGATTTTTTTGGATTAGAATTGGGATCAAAGATTTCATTAGTGCTCTTACCATCTGATATTCGTAAGACAGCTGAGCAATCACCCAGTGCATTCATTTATAAAACTGCTTTAAAACCTGGAGCTCCCCTATCCTTCTGAGGCGCCAGGCCTTTGCCTCCAGCCTCAGGGGCTTATCTGAGGTATTATTTATTTATTTATTTATTTATTTATTTATTTATTTTTAAAATTTTATTACGTTATGTTAGCCACCATACAATACATCGTTGGTTTTTGATGTGGTTATCCACGATCCATTGTTTTCATATAACACCCAGTGCT